CCCCAAAACCCCAAAACCCCAAAACCCCAAAACCCCACGACTAGTTTCCCAAGTAGAAGACATTTTATAATTTATGTAATATTAAATATGGATAAAAGGCAAGGTGAGATATTTGGAATCAAGCTCATGTATAAACTTGTTAGTCCTCATTTTGGTTTTAGAGACCGCTAACAAAGTAGATTTTATTTCCTGTCCAAATAACCCCACTTTTAGCATCCTTTGTGGTAAAACTTAATTGCATCTATTAGCTGCTGATGAAAATTCGATAATTAAATTTTATAGGCAAAGTTCCTATACTTAGCAAACCTGAAATATTCATTGCCACAAGAGGATTCTCTTCTCCTTGGTAAATTAAAAAATTATTATTTTTAAGATTTCTTTCATTTTATACTAGTGAGGTAAATTTATCTTTGAATCTGAGATGGTAGGAGAAAGATAAATTACTTAAAGTTTCTTCTGACTTACTAGTCTAACTCAAAATAGTATTCAGGGTTCTCCATGGGATATAAATCTTAAGAAAACCCTTGAATTGCTTCAGCCAAGGCTTTTAGATTTGTATGACAAGCATAAATTTCGCTTGAAATTGTAGCCATTTTGAAAATTTATCTTTATCAAATTAACTGAGGTTTGAGCTTTGTATAGATCATTTAATGCAAGATGACCCTTACGTGATCGAAGATTCAGACTCAGTATGTCTCACTCTAATTCTTAGGAAGAAGGTAGGCCCGAGCACAGGAGATCAAGAGGGAGTTTCATTCCTAAAATCACAGGCAGGTGGACTCAAGACGAACACAAAATATTCGTTGACTGTAAGGCTTGTGTTACTCTTTAGGTCTCAAAAAGTATGGAAAAGACTGGGTAATGCTCGAGAAGTCAATTCCAACTCGAACAAGTACTCAGATCCGAAGTCATGCCCAGAAGTACTTCAACACCATCAAGGAGCAGTTCAGAACTGAAGACCCTTTAGGTTATATTGATGGCGACTCTAAGAGAGATGACTCTTTTGCAGGTTAATAATATTTTCTTAAATTATAGAGCCTGATAGTAACATTAGAGGATCGCAAAGAAACATCCCACAAAGTTCAGATAGGTAATCTTTGCTTTAATCCATAGAATAATGCAAAGAGAAGATGAGGAAGATAAGCATGGTGATCCTCAAAGAGTATCAAGGAAAACCATCCCCAGTACTGTCATTAACAAGCCTCTCTATGGCTACCAAAGTTCGATAAATAAGTACTCGGAACATACAGACAACTATAGAAAAGTTCCTGTTCCAAAAATCGACTCCCAAAATGATAAAATGAAGGAAGAATCGGATAGGTCAATCTCAAGTGTAATTTGTTTGGAGAAAGGACAAGTCTCTATCAAAGGTAATAAGATCCAAACTTCAGTCCCATGAGAGATCGAGAATATTGTCCTTGCAAAGTATGCTCTTTCTGATCTTTAGTGGAATAAACAGCACAATGATCGTGTCTAACCAACCAGTAATGCTTCAAGTTTCTCCGATAACTCTGGACACTCCTCTAATTCTTGAAGGAAGTAGTAATTTCATGCAGAAATATGGAGACTCACAAAACAGAAATCGGCTGTCCTCAGATCACTACTCAAATGAGAACTCTGGTGTAGATCACATCATGAATTTTTTCGAGAAGAATTACTGTCTGCAAGACCTCAAGGGGCACTGAGGACAGAGCTCTGAGTGCCAGATGTCCTCCATGAACAGCAACGATAAGCCTCGAAACGGAGCTGAGAATAAGAGTTTTCAGTCGTCTGCCTCGAACAGGATGGAACAAGACAAAAAGTCTGACAGTGAGAACAACTCACAACCGATAGTTCATAATTTCACGAACGATGGATGGTTCAGAGCCATGCAAAAGAAAGGAAGGGGTGACCAAGCAAAGAAGCAGAAAGGGCCGAGAGATTATTACCTAAACAATTAATTTCTGGATAAATATTCATAAAATATACACCAATAAAAGTTCACAACCTTAAATCCTGAAGGATACAGAGGCGAGAGTGCAAACTCTCTAATTCCAGCCGTTGGGTCTCACCTTTTTCCTTAAAATCTCCCATTCAGAATTGTGTTATTTGGACAACAATCTTATGTTCAAGAATTCGTGTTAGGAACGAGACATAATATTATTAGGAAACAACTGGATTTTCATGAAGCATTTACCGATGCTGAGGGCTTTCAAATAAAATTTTATAGGTCTAGGAATTGAGTAACCAGATTCAAGTTTAATTTTGATAAGAGTTCTTATAGCATATTTATCATAAAACCTTGGTGACAGCAGCTTATACGCTTATGGGTATTATAGCTATCTTTAGTTTACACATAAATCACATATTTTAAGCCAAGCTATGCTGAGATTTTATAAAAAGATGGAAAATTTAGTAGATAAGGATTTAAAAATGAAAAATGAGAAATTAGAATTATTGAGACCACTAACAACTCCTATCTCAGCTTTCAATTCCATGCATTATATTCAAGAGCTATCAATTTATGGGAATTTGCTCAAACTTGCAGAACCTTCTGATATTGATAGAGATCGCCTACTTAATTTGCAAAAAGAGTACCTATTGAAAATAAAAGGAGGATTCATAATATATATCTAATTTCACCCACCTTTTAACTATATTCTTAATAAGTATTTAGTTCTTCAAGTGATAATTCTGGAATCATTTCTACCCGAAGATAGCCTCTTAATTTCAAGCAATATTGACATTTTTAGTGAAGGAGAATACTTATTAGCTTAAGGGAACTAGCTGCACAGCACAATTGGATATAATAAAATATTACCTGATGAGTGTACAAAGCTATTTTAGGAATTTATACAGTTTCAATATATTGTAATGTTATTGGGGTTTTGGGGTTTTGGGGTTTTGGGGTTTTGGGG